GGTTTTGCACTTTTTCATATGACAAGGTCAAAGTGCAAAGTTCACTGAGACATACCTGTGGTGATGCAAGTCCAGCGGCTTTTTGACCTGCAGTGCAAGTTAAGACGTGTGTAAAACACAGCTCGCAAGCCTATGTAGTAATCTGAATGAGTCTGCCTACTATATAAAGGGTGAGCGCAGAGCTGCCTCCAATGCCTTACAAGGTCGGTGAGTCTGAGGCCTAATTGTGGTCATAGCGCCTATTTAATCTTAACAGTAATTTTATTGCTCCTCTTTGTAGAAAACTAATTACAAGATCAACACCACTCTTCTTTACTTAAGTGCCATTTGACAGTATTCATTATTATTCCACTTTACAAAACCCTGTCTTTCAAAGTCAGACGGTATATCGTTAAACGCTATAGGTCGACGGTCATTTTGGACGTGATTGTCCTTAGGGCCTCACATTTCGACAGGAAAGGCACTTAAAATTTTATTTGCCTATAATACTAGCCGTTGTGTGGCTGCTTGCGTTGTTCGAGAGTGAGTCTTAAGGCAAAACTGGATAAGTCACTTCGGATTACGATCGGTAAATGTTCCTTGACGAATGCCAATTTTTACATTGTAAACCGGCAAGACAGCAAGCCTATGGCCCAATGCATTAGAACGTAGGTCGTAGGTCAAAGCCTTCGATGATGCACTAATTGGGGCTGTGTATGAATAGCCGAAGACGGCAAATGAGCAAGAAATAAAGATTCCAGTCTTCTTCATCTTAGCGGATAATGTTCAGGTTCCTGAAAATCAACAATGTATCAATAAATTAACCACACTTAAGTTGCAGATAGCTATAACCGGGGGGTATAGAAAAAGAGTACGGTGATGGGCCAAATCCAGTAAGCTCGCAAGTTATGCAAGATTCATGATTTTCAAGCAGTCCGACGACAGTCGCATTACTGCCTGAATATAAGTTCGGGAGTTGGTCAGGAATGGTAATCACAAGCTTAGCATCTCCTTTAGCATCTCCGGTAATTGACCACGCCAATTCAACGTCATTTTCAAACGGTTGCATGGCCAGTTGCAGTATGTGCAGGACAACAGGCTGAAGACGTTCTCTGTTGAGGGTGGTGCAAAGAGCTTACGCAGTGAATATTGTGCCTGCAAAAGTTCGTCAGAACCAGAACATGGGCGTGTGGGCACACGAAGAACCCTGTAAAATATGACCAACCGGTGCATAATTTAGGAAATGACTATTTGAGAAACAGTATACGGGAACGCTGGTACAAGAACCCTATATACCTGACCGTAAGTCTTCCCTCTTGAACCCGTCACCGGAGAGAGCAACAGGAACGGGAAGTCATTACATAAGGGTTTGCAGTATTTATAGCATGCATTCAGGAATCCGCAAACCGCAAAACCCGTCCCTGTTGTGTGGATTCGAAACATACAGAGGCCGCTATGTTTCACAATTGGGCCAAAGGAAGTATTCAAATCTGCCAAGCCCTCCTAATAAGTCAGTGAGCCTAGCAGTCATTCTGGTGGATTCTAGGTGATTGCTTAGGAAATCCTGCCTGGGCAGACTGCTTACTCCACCCGTAATGATGGATACCATACGTGCAGGCGTTTCGGCGGATAAATGGACCCAAATGTGGATAAATCCAAAGTTTCGACGTGCCGTTGTGTCTCTCGTAGAGCGCTGGCTGTACAAAACCCTTTCCTGCTGCGTGGTTTTTAATCCAAACGAGACCGCTACTTATTATTATTATCATCATCATAATCGAAAACCTTTTATCAGTGGCAGCTCTGTTGTTGCTACTCACGCAAACCCACTTGCAAGCTAGTGGCG